ATCCATCATTTTGTATTGTTGTAGGTTAGTTTTTTTCAGCCAATCAGAAGGCCGGATTAGCGTGACAACGAACATCGATTTTATATATAGATTGTACGAGGTACTTTAATGTCTGGAAAAAGGAACACGACTGGAATCCTGCCTAAGCTCCGAAACAAAATTCAGAGAACAATTGGGGTACATCCTCTTCTACACATTTGTCCACGCCGTGGACAAATGTGTAGAAGAGGACTCCACGCGACCAGCATGATTTATAGGGTTTGCCACGCGAGATCGCTTTGCATAGACACCGTATTTTCCATGTCCGACGGGAAAACAGTCGGTTCCTCTCTAATCTCTTCTAGTTGGAAAGTAATCACCGCCACTGCTACAAATCGTAATCGTGAGGTGGAATTGGTTAGCCAGTGTAGTTTGAGACTGGCAAATCGTGAGGTGGAATTGGTGACAATTATCCTACCAGCATGCGTCGTAACTTATTTCTCGTACATGTATGCATACATTACCGTTATTGGTTTTTTGTTGTCACTATCAACAGTACACTCGGTTACGATGTGTGGAGTTTATACCTAGTCTGTGCTGGAAAGCATTCGCTTGACGTTTAACAATTTGTCAGTGATGGAAGTATTGCTTACAAGGGCGCACACGTATACAAACTTGGTGTTGACATGTCCTGTCAATAGGAAACCATTGTAGAAAGTTAGCCCAACACAATACACTAACTTCCACAAAACATGGAGAAGGAACATGAACGGCGTCGTCTGCGCCACCACCGATACAGAATGAAGCTGAACAAATACTTGACTGGCCTTCATAGCAATATGGGAAGACTAGTGGACGAGCTAGAAAACTTCTTCTTCGGCCTGGTTATGATATTTGGCACAATCACGTTGACAACAACCAAACGTAATCAACATACGGTACTGCGCTCCCTCCCAATAAGCGCACCTCTTTCTTTACGTATCCCTGTTATATCTGTTGATTGTGGTGGTGGATTTAATAATATTATGTTGTATGTGAAAATCTGATGAGAGTAATACCTCGGATATTGTATCACCGTGCACCCTGCGCTTATTAGGAGGGAGCGCTGTACGTACTATCAAGCCAGTTGCCGTTTTCGTCGATGATATGAAAACCGTAAAGGTGCTTTTGGGAAGATACACGCAGATGTGTTGACAAAGCGTGCGGGAAATGCAGTTCATTTAATGATCAACGCGCACATTACATATATATCCCGTTTTCAAAATGTTGTCCTGTTTAATGAATGCATTTACCACAGTGCAATTTCGGTTAGAGTAAGCTAGTACCGGTATTGAAATCGTCATTGGCTATGAGTGTATGGACTTATTATTCAGCTGTGAGATCTGTCTATGGAGCTTCATCCATATATTGATAATAAAACACGTCTAGCTCGTCAAATCTAGTGAATCCACGTCGATGGTTCGTCTAAACCACTATGAGTGTATGGACTTATTATTCAGCTGTGAGATCTGTCTATGGAACTTCATCCATATATTGATAATAAAACACCTCTAGCTCGTCAAATCTAGTGAATCCACGTCGATGGTTCGTCTAAACCAACGTTAAGATAACACCAAGGCTCGGGATCTGAATTCATTGCAGCTCAATTTAATCTGGGGGTTGGTGATCTTCGCCATATGCAGTACTGCTAATTAAGTCAGTGTCACTAACCAAGACATCCGGAAAGCAAGTGCTACATATCGATATACGCTTCTGCTGAAAACGTACTATCGCGTGGAATGTGTAATGTTACAATTGCTGTATGGTACAATTTGTGCGGTACTTTAGCTGAAGAGAGGATCCAACCGTGTTCGCATCCTCCTCGATTTGGTGTAGCCTGGTGATCATTTCTATCTCCAGTACTACAGATGGTGGAGAATCTCCACCATCTGTACTAGGTGAGCTGCTGGTTGGCAAGGAGTAGTCAGTGTCACACTGACCAAGTCGCAAGGTGTTGTCGAAGACAGAATCAATCAATAGCCTGGAGTTCTGAATTCATCACGGACAGCACACTACACATTGCGTTATCAATTATCATTTACTCAACGATGTCGAACAGCGCAGACCCACTCCACGACATCTTGCCGTTCCTCTCGCAGATTAATCTACCAGCCACTATCGAAGACGAATATGCCGCCCAAAACCCGATGGAAATCTTGCCTTCACCTGTCGCTTGGGATGCAACTAAACCGAATCTCATGGACGACCTCTTCAATCTCCAAACATTGGTGTTTCCAGATACTGCTTACGATGTCTTGATGCCAAAGAGTGGAGATGATGAGCTCTACCAAAGTAGTACCTGCACCCCGGTATCGTCGGAATCAGTGGTAACGTCACCGATGAAACAAATATCCAAGCGACGTAGAGTTCATCGAAAGCAAGAGATTGACGTACTTCGTGGAGAAGTTCAAGAACTTAACGGGGAATTACAGCGTTTGGTACAACAATGGAAGGAGGACAACGACAAAGCACGATTAGCGTCACGACAAGTGTCATTATGGCCTGCTATCGCTAAAAGACAACTCGAACGACGTAAGCAGGCCGAGCGAGAAAACGCAAAACTACGAGAAATACTACAGATTCAAGTTCACGAAGCTAAGAACCTGCGGCGCGTACTCAAGCGTCGGGCTAAGGTTGAGGTTAGCATTGCTGCTACCACATGCGAATGTATTGGTGATCGGGGGGCGATGTGAGGACAATAGCTATCCACATTATGGAACAAAGCTGTGGTCAGCAGCAACATCCGAGCTAGTGCGGAATTCGGTACTCGCATGAGCACCTATCGCTCCTCATTAGAGTAAACTTAATAAACACTTTATATCCCAGAGCTCCATAAATTCGACACTTGACGATTTCAAATCATTTTTCCAACGACCTATATTAAGCGCTGAGGTTTTTCTGAATACATAAGCGAGCATCTTGCGCAACCGTGCGGGACATCGCTCGACGAAGAACTAAACAATTAAACAGGTTAGGGCTACCACGTCATTTTAGCAAATAAAATGATTTTCTATCTATTTCAAGCCAATGAAGCAAAAGTGTGACATCCTACGGAGGGACCGAATTCGAATTTATTATATAGATAAAACGGAGGTCGTTTGTATCTGCACTATACTTTCGATATGAACTCGTCCCAAGCATTGAGGAAAATTTATCCTGTAACTGAGAGAGGAGAATTCGTCACCCGAGATAAGGCTCATTGCACCTCGGAAAAGGAACATAGCGTCAGATATTTGGGATGCTATCACCAAAGAGTTAGACGTTTCAAATCACTCGAAACGTGGTAAGCTATTACCATCAAAATGGCATTTAAACACCAGGGACCTAGCCTGACTTATGAACCTAGGCGAACGAAGCTTGTACTGCTGTTTGTAGTGGTGGCTAATTGAGAGTAGCAGACGTCTACCATGCGCAGAAGAGACTAGTTGCGAGTAGCAAACGTCTAACATGCGCAGACTATCCCATGGTTCTACTCATTGGCCTTCAGCGTCCGACTGGTGAAGGTCACTAGCCAATACTCGCCGCCATGTTCCTGCATTAATGCCACCAAGATCGCCCACTTGTTAGCATAGAGGACTGACTGGCGCCCGCCCCAGATCGAAGTGCTTCAAGATCGGGTGGAGATGATCTTCGTTTTGAGTATGGTGAACGAATTCATTGCTCGTGTCCAGCGATCGTGTTCCTGATCCTCAGGTGCTGCCCCTTCTTCCGGCTCTCCCGTTAACTTCAACCGTACGATCGGGTAGTAATCTACTTCCCGAAGTTCATACAAGATCGATGCATAGACTACAAAGTCCTCGACGAATCGGCAGTAACAATTCAGGCTTCCAAGGAACGACTACATCGACTTCAACTTTATGGGGAACGGGAGATTCGAGAAGGCTTAGAGGTCTTTCGGCCTCGCCTCCAACCGGCCTGCCGACACTCGGTGACCCAGGTAGGTCACTTTGCGCCTACCCCAGTAGCTTTTAGCTACAGTGAGCGACAGGTTCTAACGATCGAATACATCCTGCACTTTGTACCTTGTTACAGATGCTCCTCCACGTGTCTCCAGTCACGAGAATGTCGACAACGTACGATCTTCGCCCCAAGATCGACGGTTTGGGTCTTGCTCTGGCTCCTCTTCCTCGAGCACATCAACCGCCTTGACTTGGCCGGGCTTGATGCGCATGTGCCCATACCGTGCATTGTCCATGATCCGCTGGTAGATCTACGGAGCGTTCCATAGCCCGAACGGCATCCTAGTCCATTCGAGCAATCCAAATGACGCGATGAATGCTGAGATCAACTCACCC